TAAAAAACTAAATATTAATATATATAAATCTAGGGGTTACAAAAATCCAATTCACTCACTATTGAATCCAATTCACTCACTATTGAATCCAATTCACTGTCGAATCTCAACAAACATAATAATAACAAAAGTATATAAAAATTACTTTTTTTAGATAAAGAATGGTGTAACATATCAAAAATGTACCTTAAAACAAAACAAAAACAACGAAAATGTGCCCTAAAATCAGCCTGAAATCGTGTAACATTGCAGAAATCGGTGGATATGTTTGAATTTTTTTTTCATTTATAATTTTCGGATTTTTTAAATCTATTTTTAAATTCAATTTTAATATTTAAAGCCTGCAAATTTTTTTAGCGAACACTAATATTTTTAAAAATCTAAAAATTTAAATACACGTATTTCATTAATCAAAAACCTTACACTAAACGTTATCTTTAAAAAAAGAACGTTTCTAATAAAATCACGAAATAATACTGAATTCTTTTCACTGTTTTACAAATAAAACTCTCACTCCTACATACATATATTAAATATTCAAATTTTAATTAAATAGCATTGACGGCAGAGTTGGCAAATTGACTGGTCCATTGTGAACAGATGTATTTTGGACTGGTCCATTGCCATTAATAAAATATTAAATATGGTTAAAGTGTTACACTAATGGCCTAATGGACCGCACATTTGCCAACCTCAATTGACGGTATTGAATACTCTAGAAAAATGAATAATAATATAATTATTATTAAGCAATAACAGCAACAGCAACAACAACAACAACAAACATTAACTCCGATATCCCACCTCCACGAACTCCTCGTACTCGTCCCGTCCCTCCGCAACCCCTAGTCCTCCCACAACCCGTCAGCTAATTAACATAAATATTACGAATATTCACAACTTGAACAGCAACAACAGCAACAGCTTCAACAACAACAGCAGCAACTATTACAACAACAACAACAACCTTAACAACAAGAACAACAGCAAAATTATATTATTCGACGTTTAGAAGAAGTGCGTTGGCACAAATTTATTTAGTTCTTTTATTTTTATAATTTATTTAGTTCTTTTATTTTTATAATTTCTATGTTCATCTATCATAGATAAATAAATAAAAAAATGTTTTTATTATATTTTATTATCAAGAATGTTAAATCCACACAATCAATAAAGGATTTTTGCAAAAGATTTGTAAACTCTCGTATATTTGCACATGCATATATTTACATTTTTACTAAAATATATATTGAATTTTGTTATTTACTAAAAATATTAATGATTTGGGACGTTAAACCTATAGATTCCATACATATGCGCTGATTTTGTTTGAACCTCAAAATTTAATATGGTATTGATTATAACGTTATGAATACTTTATATTAACAAAAACCCATCAGACATTGGTTTGACGGGCTTTTGAATAGTAAAATGTTTTTTTTGGCAGAGCAAATAAATTTTTTTAGGGTTAATTATCATTCTATTGACCAGTTTACACATTAAAAATACTCGTATTTAACGCCGAGACACAATAAGATATAAGGTTTGAGGTCTAAAAAACCAAATCAGAGCATTAACACATTTTAGGATTATTTTTAAGGTTCACTTAAGTTTTTTCTAGCATACATATTAATATTTTATTTATAGAAGGTATTTTAATTCGTATTATTTTTATTATTATTATTATTATTTATCAAACATAACTTTATTTCTATATATTTATATTGACACGTAAAACTTGCTTTTTTGAATCATGATAAAACACTTATTGTGTATGAATTTGATTTTCTTCCTATGTTGTAAAATAAACATTATTGTTGCATGAGAACCTTACCAATAATAAAAAATAAAAGATAAAAGTAAAAGAGGAGTACAATTTATAATTATTACAACCAAAATTAAAGTAATAACTAGACTGATGACGAGTTGCAATGCATTGCAACCACCACCGCCATTCTTATGATAAACACTTACCCTCGATCCTCAGCCACTCCTTGATTTCTTTTCGCTTTCGATACTTTGAAGACATTTTTAATTTGAAAAAAAAATTTTTAAACCAAATAATATTAATAATATTATTATTGGCACTTGGTGTTGCACAAGACTTTTTTTGACAGCATAGTGGAAATTTGAAAGGTTACACTATTTTTTATATTGTGCAATGCAACTTTACAATGGTAGGGAGAGATTCAGTATGGTATAACTCTTGCAGAACGTATGGTATGGTATGGTATGGTATATAAGGTTTCTGGTCCAAACTGTTTCTCAAAGCTCAAACTAGTTTGGGCAATTTGGGCTTCTCAACATTTTCTATAAGCATGAACATTAAAAAACTATATGAATCAACTTGTTTTAACTTAAACAACTTTAAAATAATTTTGCCCAATTTCGGCTAATAACAAAAAGTAGTTTGGGCTTATAAAAAAATAATTTTTGCCCAAAGTATTTGGGCAATTTCGGCTACTAATAGAAGCAGTTTTGACCAGAAACCTTAATGGTGTAGCCCATATTTTTCCATACCAAGTCACACAAAATTTTATTCTAAATCCTTTTTTGGTGGGTGTGAAGGGAATTATGTTAGATTTAAGCATTGGTATACAACCATTTTATTACACTTATACAATATCATACCATATGTTTTGCAAGAGTTATACCATACCATACTGAGTGTCCCTATACTCCTTTACAATACCGGCAAACATTCTGGCAATAAAAAGTAAGTGATGAACTGGATTTGAATTGGATCTGAACTTGACCTCCAATTTAGAGAGGCAACAACTATATACTGGTGAAGTTTTAGGAACAATGGGTTCTGTATAAAATTTCATGCAATGACAAACTTCCACTATGCGAATTGGTTTTTTTTTCTTGGAAAAACAATCTTATTTTTTGACAGACAAAACACTTGGTTAAACTTTTCTGTCATCATGTTTATTATTATTTATTATTATGTGCTTATTTATTATTGGTTATCATAGTAATAGTAAAAATTTTGTGTTACATATCCCCTGTAATTTGTCCATTCCGCAAATCGGCCCATATGAATTACTAATATGATTATTATTAAATAATAAATTATAGATAGTTAAAAGAGAAAGGTTAAAAATTTGAAAATTTTGAGAATTGCTGATGGTCCATATCCTTTTATTTCTTAAACTAGAGTGATGATGAGTTGCAATGCATTGCAACCACCACCACCATTCTTATGATAAACACTTACCCTCAATCCTCAGCCACTCCATGATTTCTTTTCGCTTTTGATACTTTGAAGACATTTTTAATTTGAAAAAAAAATTTTTAAAATGCGTTAAACCAAATAATATTAATAATATTATTATTGGCACTTGGTGTCGCACAAGATTTTTTTTGACAGCATAGTGGAAATTTGAAATGTTACACTATTTTTTATATTGTGAAATGTAACTTTACAATACCGGCAAACATTCTGGCAATAAAAAGTAAGTGATGAACTGGATTTGAATCAGATCTGAACTTGACCTCCAATTTAGAGAGGCAACAACTATATACTGGTGAAGTTTTAGGAGCAATGGGTTCTGTATAAAATTTCATGCAATGACAAACTTCCACTATGCGAATTGGTTTTTTTTTCTTGGAAAAACAATCTTATTTTTTGACAGACAAAACATGGTTCTCCTAAAGAAGAAGTGCTAATAACTAACCAGTGGTGCTATTTTTTACTTGCATTGATATGTCTTTTAGTTTATAAATATTTTAATTGGAATTGAAATGCGGAGCAGATCTTTCTGGATAATTATAAGATTCCCACCGATTAGTAAACAAATGATTGGTACTTTGCCTTTTGTAATTGTTATTAATGCTATTATTATTATAATTAATTACAAGATGTCAAGGCAGTATGACTGATTGTTATAGAAGAAACAATTCAATATGAAACAATTCAAGTATGCGATGTTTGATTATTGGAAATTAGCAGATGCTCATGTACATAAGGCTAAATCTGACTTGCACCCTACCAATGATACAACGATGCAATAGAATTCCAGGGTAGCATGGCCCTGGAGTTTACCAAGACTGCCAAGGACGCTTTCACTAATCTTCTTTCACAGCACCAGACCAGAGAAGGTTGCTGGCATGCTGGCAAAAAAGTCGCCTGCATCAATCCTACCTCTAGGGTAAGGATGGCTCTGCAACCAAGTCATGTTTTGAAGAGTTGTGATATTGGGTGTGCATAAACATCCAGATCCATCAATACAACAAGAATCAGCAACTTGTTCCAAGCACATGAGATTGCAATTCAGAGCTGGGTCGGTGGCCCTGAAATCACATTTAGTCTCTGATGTTAGGAGGAAGGCTTTAAATAAAATGGTTCAGATTTTTTTTTGGTATGTTATATATATATATTAGTTACTTTCCCAAATTTTCTGTTTCTTCAATTTTTATTTGACCAATCGAACTTGATATTTTTTTAAATGGGCTCTTTGCCTATACAACTCAACCTAGGTTAATAAAAGAGTGTAAATCAATCAGAGCATATTCTTACAAGTACATAGGCAACCCCATTAAACCGAAGGCAATTGTGCAGGGACTTTTCTTCGGATTAATGGGGTTTCAGATTAACGGGGTTTTTTTGTAATCCGAAGTTATTATTAGAGTCATAAATTAATTCGGATAAACGGGGTGGGTAGTAAATTTAAAAATTTAGAATTTCCTTTATCCATTTATTATTAATAATAAATCATAATTTACAAAATCTTTTAACTAAAATATGTATCAATTTCTGTTTGAGCCATTGACACAAAAATTTCTTTCTTTAATTCTCTTTTAAATTTGTTTAATTCACGCAGGAAACTCTCACTAATACCCATTCCTCTTTCTTCTTGCATTAGAAAAAATTGGAGCCTTTCAATCAATTCCATAGCCTGGTCCATAGTTATTTTATCTTCAGAAACTTGAAATTGGTTATCTTCTTCTTCTTCTTCAATCGCTTCCTTCCCTTTAACTAGTTCAATGATTTCTTGATCAGCTAATTTATCCTGATTTTGCAATCTCAAATCTATTTCTATGTAGTCATTAGCAGATAATGAATCATCAAAATTAAAACAACCAATCATTTCTTGGATTGAATCTGTATCATCATCAGATGGTAAAATTAAATAATCTTCAATATTTTCCAAAGAAGGAAGGATATCAACTTTAAACCAGCATGAAACAATTGTACTAGGCAAAACAAGGTTCCATGCTTCTGCAGTAAAAGAAATAGCATCAAATATTGTAAGTTTTGGTACAGGTATTTGTTGATTAATCTTATTGTCATATGCATCAATTCTGTTTTGACATAAAATCCACCAATATTTTGATTTAAAGGAATGTATTATTCCACCGTCACAAGGCTGGAGATGGGATGTTGTATTTGGAGGGAAATAGTGTAATGTAATATTAGAAAGTGAAATGCCTTCTTCCAATGAATGCGATGTAGCATTATCTAGCAGAAGCAAAATGTGACGTCTTGCTTTTCTCATATCTTCATTTAATTTTGTAAGCCAATGATAAAACACAGATGATTGCATCCAGGCACACGAATTCCAATAATAAAAAACAGGCAAAGTTTTCTTATCAATATTTCTTAAACATCTAGGGTCTTTATACTTATGAATGAAAAGAGGTGTTAATTTGGATGTTCCTGTAGCATTACAGGTAAGTAAAACAGTAACTCGGTCCTTTGGTCTTTTAGTGCCCAAAAGTGGTCCACTAGCAAGAGTTTTGGAAGGTTCTAGCTTCCAGTAAAGTGCAGTTTCGTCACAATTGTATACATCATCAAGATTCCATTGACTAAGAAGATTTTTGAGATTATCACGATATTGTGACAATTCTTCCAAAGGTGCGGAATTTGCCTCACCACAACGAACATGTTCAGAAATATTGTATCGTCTTTTAAATCTAACAAACCACCCATTTGATCCTTTGAAGTCATTTATCTGAAAATGTTGGGCAAAAACTTTAGCTTTTGAAATAACAATATGCCCAGATAAAGTACAATTATCACTTGCTGCCTGATCAATCCAGAGTGCTAATGATTGTTCAATTTCTGGATATTTTGTTGATCTCTCATGATATGAATTTGCAGTGAATTGATTTGGATTCAATGAAAATAATCACTCTTTTTTAGAATATCAGAAACAGTAGATTCACCGGCATTGTATTTAAATGCAAGCTGGTTATTTTTTATGTTTGGGTCTTTATTTTTTTCAATGCATATTTCTATTTTTTGTGAGATTGTTATAGGTGTATGTTTTCTTTTTGATACCCCAACTTCTTTTTCAGTAGTTTTTTTTTTTTTTCCTCTTGTTTGCACTAGAGGAAGGTCTATTATTATTTGCTATTTCCATGATAATTTTTTACATATGTATTTGTATAACTTGTATATTATTATTATTGGTCCAATTTTTATTTCACTTTGGTTTATAAAGATCAATCTTCGGTTTATAAAAATTCAGATTAACGGGGCAATTTTACATATAAATGACTTCAAAAAAAATTTAAAAATTTCTTCGGTTTACGGTTTATAGAGCTATATTAGTGACATTCGGATTAACGGGGTAATTTACATATGTTTGGCTTTGGTGTTTTAAAAATTATTCATTTTAACGGGGTTTTCAGATTAACGGGGTTCGGATTAACGGGGTTGCCTATGTATAAAGATGGCAGTTCAACTCTGCCCATTCCCATTGTGATGGTCATCATGATCATTGGCATCAAGGAGAAAGCTGTAAAATAAATTTTGTTTGATATGTTATGTAAAAATTAATCATTTTCACAAATTTTCTGTTTCTTTAATTTTTGTTTGACCAACTGAAATTGTATTTAAAATCCAATACAACCACCCAGGTTGCAACCTCCTGAGTTGGAGTATTTTGAATCAGTTGCAGACACCAACTTTGTTCTATAGATCAGGATAACACAAAGCAATCATCACACAAGTACCAGCTATCAGTGATCAATGCCAAGCATGGTCTGAGAGAAAGATAAGGGAATGTTTTGTCCAAAGCCTTCCAACTTGTAAGTGTCTCACCTGTGGAAAAAATTCCATAGGGATGAGATGGTGTGAAGCACCCGTTTGTGACAGGGATTTTAATTAAATCTGATGCCTGTGATCAACATCAGATTTATTATTCATAAGGAAAATTGTGATCTGGCATGGCCTTGTGCTACCCAGGTGATGATGCAATTGTGTTACAACATTGTTAATTGAAATTTTTTGTGTACAAGTCAGTTTTGGGTTGAGATTTTTATAATTTTTTGTATAAGTCAGGTTTGGGTTGAGATTTTTATAATTTTTATGTACAAGTTGGGTTTGGGTTGAGTAATCATTCAATTATGATGACCTGTGCAGGCCTCTATTCTTGAAGCACTCACTGATTCATTCTTAGTAAATATCTGGCATATATAAAATTATTCACACATAATACTGAAATATAAGTTTATTTAAAAAAAAAAAAAAAAAAATTTTGTAAAATTAATATAATAAAATTTCCAAGTATAAAATTCCTAAAATTCCTATAAAATAATAAAAATAAATTTATGTTATTATTTAATAAAATTAATTAAAAAAAAAATACTCACCCAATCTGCATCAACATCTGATGCCCATTGGAATTTCTCCTGGAGGCTTTTGTTAAAAACCTTTTCAATTGGGACTTGGTATTTTTTGCTCCAGGCTACCGTGATGCATGGGTCTATGTAATTCATTTTTGATGTATATACCCAGTGCAATTATTGTATTGTCTTCTTCTTCTTGTTCTGACAATTTGGTGGTTTTTATATGAGCCTTGCTGATGGAATGTTTATGGTTACATAAAATAGCAACCTGTCTGTTTGCTTTATTATATGCTACCATTTTCTCTGTTTCATTAGTAGCATTTGCCATCTCTTTCTTTAGCTCAATTTGGAAGGTATGAGATGCATTGTATGTACAAAACACTTTGGCAGTTAGTCCATCCATGTAATGAGATAAATATTCATTCAAATCTTGAGTCTAAAAGAAAATTTGAAGTTATTAATAGAACAAACACAAACACACTCACATATATGCAATTGATTAAATTTAAATCTTGTATTTTTGTACCTTTAAACTGTCAAATAACTCTTCACTGGTTTTCTTATCCTTCATAAATATTTTAAAATTTTCAAAAACTTGTTCTGTTACTTCCACTGAATTTTTGTATCTTATTGAATCTTTACCCAAAAAATCAAACTTGACTGTCCTTGGTTCTACCAAAGTAATATGCTCACACCTGAGAGAACAACAACCTACAGTATCTGCTTCTTCAACAGTTTTTTCATTTCCTGCTCTTAGTGAAAGTGTGTCAATAAGATACATAGCTGTACCACATTGACAAACTGATTCAAGTTTATCTTCCAAATCCTTTGTGTAATCATGGCGAATTTTTTCTAGATGTTTATCAAGTTCCCTAGCCTTATCAAATTTTTCCAAATCACTTTGACCTTTAAGTGAGCTATTGGCTGCTAAAGACATATATTCTATTTTGTTATTTACATTCTCCTTCCATTTGGCAAGCCAGGTAACTGTGTTATCATGTAGAATACTACCCCAGGAGTGGCCAGCAGGTGGAGGAGGGATGGGTGCATCTTTACTGATATTAATTGTTATTTGCTCAGGAGTGACTTTATACTTCAATGAACCAGTTTTAGGATGAACACCATGACCTTTAAACAAACCAGGTGGCTTAATTTTAAAATTATCAACTTTTTCTTTACGTCCATCTAAGTAACAATAACCATATAAATCATCAACCCTGGTCTTTTCATCTTTCAACCTTTGTTTTTCCTCTTTTGAAAAATTTTTGTTTGTTTCTCTTTTTTTTGTAAATAATTGCATATAGAAGTAAAATCACATTTTTCAAAATCCTCAACTTGTGGATTTTCTTCAGATTTTTTCAATACAGTTTGCCAATCTTTAAAAAAGTTTTCATTGAAAGTATCATTCATTACATAATTGTCATTTAACAATTCAGCATAGAGTGTTGCCACTTCCTCAGCTTCTGGAGTGAGTTCAATTTCATCTCCTTTGAAAAAAAAATCAATAATGATTATTGTAAAAGTTTAGAAATATAATTAAAAAATTATAACAAAAACAATAATAATATTTTCAAATACACATGCATTAAAAAAGAAAATTAGATTATATAATGCCATGCCATTATATTTTATGTTTACATTGTGAGGGACATACTCCTGAGGAAAACAAACCCCGTTATGGACCAAGCTGGTCCATATGGCTGGCTGAGGTTCCTCAATTTTTTGTTGCTGTGGTTGATCTTGTTGTTGCTGTTCTTGTTGTTGTTGTTGATTAGATGATGTTTTATTTAAATATGTTGTGATTGAATCTGGTTGCCAATCATCTTCATCTGACCAATCAACAATCTTTACTTTACCCTTTTTAACTTGACTGTCATATTGTAAGAAGAAAAAAAACATGAATAATGACAAGTATTATTATTTAACTAGAGTAACGACAAGTGGCGGGCGATAACCATCACCACCATCCTTAAAACACTTACCCAGCAACTCCAGAATCATTTTGTCTACTTCTTTTATTAATTTGTGTTTTTCTCATTTTTTTTAAAGTTTGTTATTTGATCGATGCGTACACATTAATTATTTATCCTATTGGTTTTTTTTTTCTGGTAGGACAGACGTGAATGATTTTTTGACAGAGTCCAAGGTGACAAAACATGAACGTTGTTGTTTGGTTTGGGTCTCCTAAAGAAAAGGTGTTAATAACTAACCAGAGGTACTACTTTTTTTTACTTGTATTGATATTTTTGGTTATTATAAATATTTTAATTGGAAATCAAAATGCGGAGCAGATCATTGCTGAGTGATTAGTGTTTGTACTCATGAGTACTCGAGTACTCATGAGTGATCTGCATGAGTATCCGGATACTCATGAGTATATCCGGATACTCATATACTCATTGAGTACTCAATGAGTAATGTATGACAAATACTTAATATAGTATGATCGACTTTGAAATGTATAAAACGTATAATTAAAATTTTATTTAATAAATATATATATAATAATAAAAAATAAAGACTTAGTCTGAATTTCAAGAAAAATAATGAAAAAAATAAAAGAATAATAATAATATTTATGATGTTTAAATACTATCACTAAAAAAAAAAGTTATTTTAATTATGATAAAATTGATGAATTTCGTTTCAGAAAAACAATTTTTGAAACAATATTAGGTGATAATTTATTTCTGCTTGGAATTATAAGATTTCCCACATCAGAAAAAAGTCGTTCTGATGGTACAGATGTTGCATTTATGCATAAATACTTTTTTGCTAAATTTGACATTATAGGAAACTCGTTTTTTTTACTATTCCACCAAATAAATGGATCTGTTTGCCGATTTGCAGTTGGTAAAGAAAAATATTTTTCGTATTCACCTTGTACCTCCTCTTCATATTGCAATAAATCATTAAATAAATCATCAAATATTCCAGAATTATTTCCTGATGGGAATAATGCACTACTTGGATGAAATGAGCTGGTAGATTGCCTTCGTTGCTCTTTGATAATTTCATACTGCATTTTTAAAAAATTTAATGTTTCTAAACATGCTTGATTATCAATAAACTTTAAATGCTTGAATCGTGGGTCTAATGCAGATGCTAGCATTGCTAAAATAGATGGTTCTGACCAATAATTCTTTATTGAGTTATATAAAGTTAGGATTATTTTTTCATATAAATCATTAGTATTTGCAGGTCTTGAAATATTGATTTTTTTTTTTCCTTTTTTCTCCATTCCTTTCTTCAAAAATTTGCACCTCTCCTTGATCATTTTCTTCAATTGAATGTAATGCCAATGGCTCTTGATTTTCTTGCAATGATTCTACCTCATTTAAAATATATTCGGCATTAATTGGTGGTATTTCTTCTTCATAGTTATTGTCATTATTGTTAACATCATTATCATTATTATCATCATTATTTAATATATTTGAAAGTATTTTTTTTAAATAGGATATTAATGGAAATATTAATGATAAAGTGACAAAATTTTTGCCACTCAATGTTGTGGTTATTGTATCAAAGTGACTTAATATGCTAACAAGTTTTTCAATTAATTCCCATTCTTGATCACTTAATAAAAAACTCTTTAATTTTTTAGCATCTTTTTTTACTTCTCTGTCCGAATTCAATTCCATATGCATCATTAAAAGAATTATAATCTTACCCATGCTTTAAATGTACTATTCCAACGTGTTATTACATCAAATGTGGGTTTTAATACTTTTGGATAATCCTCCTTCATTCTCTCTTGTTGTTTTTCTAAGGCTTCTAATTGTTTTGG